TAGGATGTGCTGTGGGGGTTCTTCACTAAGCCTGGAGTGCCACATAGATAGCGCTCCTTCTGTTCGAGGGTGCCACAGGAAGCGCTTTCGGGGCTTCCTGCGAACGTTCTCGCCATTGGCTATTGTAGCTGTATGTTGTCGTCGTCTTCGATGGTACGTTGGGCAAGGTCTCGAGCCTGCCTGCGCCCCCGCGTACGCCGACTGGCTGGAAAGCAAGTTCTATCTCTACCAACGCTTTTTCTTGGACACGTGAGACGGAAGACAATGCTCCGTGTGCCATGGGTGGCACACCGCCCAGCGCTCTTTGTACGATACCTCAACCCCCCAAGCGTCCTGTTGACCTTTTATTTTTTAGAGTCAAGTGTACGTGAGACGGAAAAAGACAATTTTCCGCGCGTCGTGGGTGGCACACTGCCCCGAACCCCTGTACATCATATCAACGCCGATCGTCGTCCGATTGACCGATTACCGTTTGTTTTCGTGTTCTTTTCCGACTTGCGCATGCAGAGTGGAGGTGGAAGGAGCCGTCACGGTGAACTTCGGCAAGGTCATGGAGCGCCTTCGCAAGCTGAGGGCGGGCATCTCCCATCACGACAGCGCCAAGCGCTTCACGAGCCTGGGCATCGACGTCTACATCGGGCACGGAGAGTTCTCCTCACCCAACACCGTCCAGGTGTGTGTGTGTGTGTGTATGTGTATGAAGTACTGCTGTACTGCTGTACAACTCGAAAGTCTGTATTACAGATTTGTAAGCTGTTCTTTTTGGTTTGGTTCGTTGGGGTTATCGAAAGTTTGTATGCAGAATTGTAATTTTTTCTTTTTTGGTCCGTTTGATTCGTTTGATGTTCGCCGGGCTCTTTGAGTCGAGAACATGTCAGCTGTTGAGTTTAGGACTGTCACACCGACACCGCAGTCAGCTGTGAGTTGGCCTTGCTCCTTCATGTTTTTTTTTTTTTTTGCATCTTGCATCTCATCCCTTCCATGACTCCGGAGGGAAGGATCACTCGTATGTTGTACTGTGTACGATTACGACGTGATGGGCGGTGAGAAGAAGAGCGGCTGTCTGTGCGTTGCAAGTAGCAGTCGTCCACGATGGTGGAACTCTGTGGCACGAGGCGAAAGAAAGTACGGTCACACGCCGCGACAACCCTGGATAGTCACACGCCGCAACAACTCTGTATAGATGGATGGCGTTTCTCGTTCACCCGACGAACCAAGCCCTCTCCTCGGGTAGGTAAGCATTCAGCACGCAAGCGCGTGCCGGGACGCCCAATCCTCGCTGTGCAATCTCTTCGTTCTTTTTTTTTGTCATGTTTTACGGCGTCCAACGCGGCTCTCCCCCCCCTGTGAGACGATCCGAGACGACGCGGTGGCGGCACCAAGAAGGTTCTCTTGCTCGACACCGCAGACAACCCCCCGCCCCGCTGTTTCTTTGGGCGACGGACACTCAGTATTTTACGATACCGGGATTATGGGTGTTCCCACATGATGTTGTCTTCACACCGGTATAGATATTATAAAAACGGATTTGCTGAGCTTTTTGACATGTGTACAACCTCCTTCCTCTGACATTTTGCTGCTGTTTCCCTCTTTCCCCCCCCCTCCCTCCCTCCATCTTTTTTTTTTTGTTCTTCTTCTCGTGCTTCTTCCAGGTGAACGGCAAGACCCTCAAGTTCAAGTCCGCCGTCGTTGCCACTGGAGGTTCGGCCGCCCTGCCGCCTATCCCGGGTCTCAAGGAAGCCCCATACCTCACGAACGCCTCTGTCTTCAACCTCACCGCCCTACCCAGAAGGCTGGTGAGTCTACCGATTCCCCACGCTCGCCTTTTTTTTTTGCTCGCTTGTACGTTGTTACAAGAGGTCCAGTCCAGTCCGCGCTCGAGGAAAATCTATGAAAATGTATAATACATCAACGTACAGTAGTTTTTTTGTTTTTTTTTCCCCAGTAGTCGTGTGTGTGGTGTTGATAATCTTCTTCGACCGGCAATTTCCCGTAAGAACAACGTGTCGAAAATATACCCGTGGATATGGAACTGGTGTCGACGGTTTTGCTCTCTCCTCACCCCGTGAGTTTTTTTTTTTGTGTTATGTGTCTAATTTATGCTTCCCCTGGGGAAGCTACAGGGTACACGGCATGGCAGGCTTTTGTTGCCTCCTAGTTGTGTACGGCCGCTTCTCGGTTTCCGCGTTCTTCGTGTCTAGTGCTTGTTGGCTGTGGAGGCTTGTCGGATGCAGACACTGTGTGTTTTCCGTTGTATTGGTTGCATTTTTTTTTTTTTACGTGTCCGACTGATGATGCCGACCACGACAACGAAGCTAACTCTTGAGAGCGTCCCCCATACATGTACGGCGATGGATGTGCTTGACCACAGGTGGTGATCGGAGGAGGACCCATCGGTCTCGAGCTGGCCCAGGCGATGCAGCGCTTCGGGTCGGAGGTCACCGTGCTCATCCGCTCCGGAGCTATCATGCCCAAGGTGCGTGACTGCTGTAGGCGAGACGGTTTTGGTGGTGTGTGTCTTCCCCCCCCAAGCTTTGGCGTTGGCGATGTCGGCCGAAAAATATCGGAGACGTGATGGCAGGGCATTCTCAACGCCGCTTAGACCCGCGTTGTGTTATCGTTCGTACCGCGATTGTGCGCGGTGCCGAGACCGGCCTGCCTCTGCCCATTGCGAGACGCGCTGAGACAGTGAAGACGGTCGGTTGCACATATCTATATCTCTGCGGGTGGCGTGTATCCCTCCCCTCTTTAACTGGCTTTTTTTTGCTTTCTTGTTCTGACTATCTTTTCTCGAGGTATTGCAGTCGCCATCTACATGTCAAGAGTTTTGATTCTATTCATACCTCTCTTGTTTTGTTTTTTTTAGTAGCGGCGACGAAGGCGTGTATCTCGGCGTTCGTTGCCATCCAGAATTGTAATGTAATCACAGCAGTAGCAGTACCACCGTCTTACTGGTATCGATACCGTCCTTTTCGTTCTTTCGTACCACCCTATTGTTGCCGTGTCCCCACCCCAACTTCCTCTCTGAACGATCCCTATCCCCACCCACCATGCTCTGTTCTGTTCCCTCCTGTGTCCGTTTCGTGAATTAATTGTGAATTCACCCAGGAGGATGACGACGCCAGGGCTATCGTCCTAGAGTCCCTCCTTAAGGACGGCCTGAACCTCCAGTTCCACCTCAAGTTCCTCCGCGTGGAGCACGAGGATCCCAAGGAGGAGGGAGACTTCCCCCTCATCAAGATCTTCGTCGAGCAGGACGGCCAGGAGAAGGTCAGTAAGGATCTTGGTATTTACAACAGGACGGCCAGGAGAAGGTCGGTGAAGATCTTGGTATTTACAACAGGACGGCCAGGAGAAGGTCGGTAAAGATCTTGGTACTTACATTACATCCTCAAAAGAAAGACTATTACCCATTCGAGAGACAATACCGCAGTCGGGGGGTTGTAACTGCTGCTCGCTTCATTTCGTGCTACGTAAAACCTTCTGGTTTTTCATGCCGGTTGTCGCGTAGTGTTTTTTTGCGCTGACTATATACTGCTGCTGCTGCATCTTGTTGGTCGCGTGTTGCGACCGCCTGACTGGCTTCGCACGGCCCCGGCACCGCTCGCTGTTGATCATCTTGAAAGCGGGTTTCCGTACCACTGTTTTCACTTGGGTCGCGAATTTGCACCGACGGCAACGAATCGTAGTCTACTTCGGCCACCACCTTTATGATCAAACCACCCAAGAAACTTTCGTCTGAAACGGCTCTTCCTCCTGCCGGTCGTCGTCGGCTCTACGTACGCGACTTATGCCGTCTGGTTCTGACTAATAAGAACATCAACTCTCTCCCTTGCGAGGTCGTTGTTGTCGTTCGTCCCATGGTATTTTTTCGTTGTTGCGTGCTCGATGGTTCAGGTGTTGGCGCGCTAAGCCCTACTAAACTTTCTCTCTCTCTCTCTCTCTCTCTCTCTCTCTCCCTGCCCGTTGTCGTTGTTGTCGTTCGTCCTATGGCATATACATCCGTGCGTGCTCGATGGCCCAGGTGTTCGAGTGCGAAGCCCTCCTGGTGGCCACCGGGCGGAAGCCCAACGTGAGCAACGTGGGCCTGGAGAAGGCGGGGGTGGAGTTCAACCCCAAGGACGGCGTCAAGGTCAACGACCAGCTGCAGACCACCAACAAGGTACCAGTCAGGGCTAGTGCTAGGGCTAGGGTTAGGGTTAGGGTTAGGGCTAGTGCTAGGGCTAGGGTTGGGGTTAGGGTTAGGGTTAGGGTACAGGGCGGAATGTGTGTGGTGGATGCCGCTCTCTCTGGTTGTCCTCGTCTCGACGTTGTTGTTTGGAGGTGTGATACAGGGCATGTAATAGCGGTGTTGCTCTCGTTCCGTTTCTACTCCGTGGTTGCAGACGTGCATGCTGCTGTAAGGCTGCTCTCGGATGTCCACTGCTGTAGCATGAAGAGGTCGTTTTGGGAAAAATCAAGGCCTTGTGGATCGGGTTCAGGGATCCTGCCGGAGCGAAACGAGAGCTCAAGAGATCCGCTCCCGGACCTGCTCGCAGGCGACCCGATCATCTAACCTTGCCACAAAACCTCGATCTGCTATGTCCGTGCTTCCTCCCTCTTGTGTGTCACTCTCTCTCTCTCTCTCTCTCTCTCTCTCTCTCTCTCTCTCTCTCTATCTCTATCTCTCTCTCTCTCTCTCTCTCTCTCTCGTTCTCTCATTCTGTCTTTCTCTCTCCCTCTGTCCGTGACGACCATTTGGTGCCGATGGAACCCTCGTCAGTCTATCTACGCCGTCGGGGACTGCTGCACGAAGTTCCAGTTCACTCACGCCGCGGACTTCATGGCAAGGATCGTCATCAGGAACGCGCTCTTCTTTGGTGAGCGTTTCAATGCAATGGAGAATCGAGAACGCATCTCACGCAATGTGGATGGATACAGCAGTATGCTTGGTATACTACACCCTGTAGAAGCCGAAATCAAACCTAATGGATTGATTGATTTCGGCTTCTACAACCCACGAAAAATTGTTGCGAATTGCCAGCATTTCGCAGAACGCGATCCATTGCTGAGTAAACGCCACACACACACACACACACACACACACACACTTCCCCCATGCTGCCCCCTCACGGGGTCCCAGTTCATGGCAGATAGACGTGTTTTGTGTTTTCAACCGCACTAAGACTGACGTCTTTTCATTGGTCAGCCGGTTAGCGCGGTCGATGCTAATAATAAAAAAAAACACACACACACACGCCCGCCCGCCCGCCCTCGCGCTCCCCGACGCCCCCGGTCTGGCTTCAATTCAACTCTACCGCAGGCAAGGCGAAGTTCAGCGACCTCCTGATCCCATGGGCCACCTTTACCGAGCCGGAGGTGGCCCACGTTGGGCTGTACCCTCGCGACATGGAGGCGCAGAAAATCGCTTACGACACGTACACCAAGCAGGTGAGACGAACGCGTTTTTTTTTTTTCGTGAGTGTTCGGTCCTCTGGCCTTTGCTGGCTACTAGGCGCACTACGCGCCAAGCACTGAGTGCAGGCACGAAGCAGGTTTCTCCAGGCGGTGTTAGCTCTTGCCTTTGCTGGTTATCAGGCGCATACCCCGCCTATCATTTCTTCAGTGACTGTTTGCTGTGTGCCCGCAGGCACCGTTGCCGTTAGTGGTGGTGTCGGCAGCGTTATCATAGACATGGCAATGATGACGGCGTTTTACCAAGAGAGGGGGATGGGGGGTGATCGTGTCACCCGCTGTTGACCGTATACGATGCCAACGCGCTTCCTCAACCAGTTAACGCACGTTCATGACACCTGCTATTGACCATGTACGACGCCAACGCTGCCTCAACCTGTGTAGTCTAACGGAAGTTTTTTTTTCTTCTTTTTCTTGTCCAGTTCGACGCCAACGCTGCTTCAACCTGTGTAGTCTAACGGACGTTTTTTTTTTTTTTGACCAGTTCGACGACAACGACCGCGCTATCCTGGAGGGCGAGACGGAAGGTTTCGTGAAGATCCACGTGAGGCGTGGCACCGACCGCATCATCGGGGCAACCATCGTCGGGGCCGGTGCCGGCGACATGATCAGGTGCGTTTTTTGGCGACGTCGACGTCGTTGTTGGTCGTTGTTCCCCAAGAAGGATTTTTTTGCTTGCTGAGAACGCAACTCGAGATATATATCCGTCTTGCACGGGCGCTGTACTGGTTGTAAAACAGGAAAATCGCGCGCATATTGAAGCGTATCTCAAGGATAGGCGAACACGGGGTCGGATTATATATAGAGAGCCAAGGTTACCACCTGCCGCCTGAAAGCGATGGACGTTTTCGTTACGTGAATTTTTGGAGGGGGGAACTGACCGACAAAACACCCGCGGGTACATGTGCATATGGCAACCGGACGCTATCTCGTCTTACGATTAAGATTACACAAAGGATTATAAAGAGCGAGACGTGTGAATACTCGAGGAAACCGCGCCAACGAAAACAGGCACCGTTTGGCCGGCAAGCGGCTTTACTCACCTTGACACGTCAAGTCAATACTTGTCAACATGTTTCGATCGTTTGTTGCACAGCAGGCGTTGCTTCGTAGCAGGGAGTCTCGCCACGAACAGCTATAGACAAGGATGGCCACAAATACTTGTCGTGACCTCACCCAGAACCCGTTTTTTCGTGGAAAAAAACACTGACGTGCAACAACGCCTTTTCCCCCTGCATATATATCATGGACGGCCTTCGCTCCAACCCCCTCCCGCCAGCGAGGTGTCCGTGGCGATGCAGTCGAAGGTGGGCCTCGGCAGCTTGGCGGGCGTGATCCACCCTTACCCCACCAGAGCCGAGTCCATCCGCCAGGCCGGCGACCTGTACAACAAGACCAAGCTCACGCCGGCGGTGCGCTCGTTGTTCCGCAACCTCATGGCCATCAAGCGCTAAAACAAAACGAGCGACAGACATCCTTGAAGGAGGCGGGCGATACCGAGTCGGGATTGTTTTTCGCTTGCTGAGTATTTTTCGACGAGAGAGAGAGAGAGATAGAAGGGAGGTCGTCGGTGTGGTTTGTCGTTACATGGGCTTGCTTGCATGCTGTTGTGTAGCCCTTGCGAGGAGGCGCGATGACCGAGTTGGGGTCGTTTTCTAGCTGGGTTCAGTAGTTTTTGACGATAAGAGAGAAGAAGGAAGTCGTCGCTGTTGTTTGCCTTGCTTGCTATTGTGTAGCCCGCGTGATCCTGCAGTTGGCGCGTTTCCGTGTTTCGCGTGCTTTTATTTTGATGCTTTCTACAGTATCTTGACACTCCTTGTCGAACCACCGAGTTGTTTCAGCAAGCGTGCTTTGCTTGGCAAATAATCTTATCTGGTTCGCCAGGGTTCTGTCCCCTGTGAATTGAGCATGTGCATCCTCTAGGTATTGTACCGGAGTATACGGAGGCGTGATTTACATCACGGCGAACGATATTTAGACCGGCTGGTATACGTTGGTACGCGTTGCTTGCATGGGGTCCGTGTAGAACTCGCCACCTCGATCGGGACTACGCGAGATCGTCTTGGTCCATGACCAACGTAATTGCTTTTTGTGAATTTGCGTGCCCTTGTTGCCTGTGCCTGGGTCACGGCGATCGCGTGTCGTACCTAGTTGTTGTGGTGTGAGCTTGCCGTGATTTGGATATTCAAGCATAAGCATGTACCGTACTGTAGACAGACCTCGTTCGGGTGTCACACAGATTTGACGAACCGGGGAGTAGAGGCGTTTTTTCCTTCTTTTTTTCATTTGTTTTTAAGAGCACACGAGCGTGAGCACCCAACGGTAGTGTGGGAAAGCGTTTGCGTTGTTGTTCTTTTTTTCTCGTTTGCTTTGCAGCTGCTGGGTAGAATGGGTCTTGATGTTTAGGGCACATTCCGGTCGAAGCCGTTTGTCGAGGTTGCGATTTGTCAATGGCATCACAGTATGCCCACAGTATGCTCACACGTTAAACCTGAGAACCGGGCGATTCAGACATTTCCTCCTCGTTCTCATCTCGGTGGGATGCACCACCCCGAAGGACAGGAAGGGCGCAATGAGACCATCTTGGTAGTCTCGTGCACCTATCGCCCCAACGACACGTGTTTAGCACGTACGTTGCCTTTCTGTCTACCGCGAAGGAGAGTGAGTCCGAAAGAGGGAACGGATACATTCATCCCGTATGTACACAAACCGTTCAATCATCATCCCCCCCGTGATGAACCTTTCGGTAGTAAGCGTTGACTTATGATCAACGTACACAAACTCGACATCATCAGGAGACCCTGCGTGAACGCCGAAGTAATGTGATGTTGAATGGCGGTTCGATTTCAACTACCGGGAAGCCCACGGGTGACCATGAACTGCTTTTGCTACAGAAAAATCAGCGAGACTTGTTGCCAACATATGAATGCGCACATAGCAGCGGCATGCTCGTGTGGCTTGGGTGTCGAGGAAGAGCTGCTTTCCGAGCTGCCCCCCGGAAGCACGAGGGGGGCAAAAGGGCACACAAAGCGTCGTCCGTAACTTTTCCCAACATCGCTTGAGTGCCGCAGGGGTAGTGCTTGCGTCGATGGTAGCCAAAACTCTTTCAGGTCGTGTGGTGTCAAAGGTGTCGGACGTGGATGACTACAAGAAAGAACGCACATGAGGCAGACTATAAATACCCATCCTCTAACCAGGAGGCACTTGTCCTGCAAATCTCGCGGTGGCGGGCAATTCTCGTTTCTAACGCATTTTTCTATGCCCCCCCCCCAGTCAAGCCCATTCCTTCTGTGTACTGACTGCGGTCGTTCCTTGAAGGGGTGAACGGCGAAACCTCGGCACCATGGTCATACGCCCAACGGACTTCGTCGAAACGGATGTACACGCGGTGCACCACCAAAACATTGGTCGAACCGCTTGATCGCTGTTCCCGACGTCTCTCTACTAGAGACATCAGCATATGGTTACGGTGGCGAAAACAACCCATCCATCTACCCCCTCCGTGAGGACCGATAACTATCTGTACAGACCGCCAAATGATTTCCCGTCCGCGGCAAACAAGAAAAAAAATCTATAAGCCTGACTGCTGAGTTAAACAAAATAAAACCAAACCCAAATGAAGCACCAGGACCAGCCTTGAACGTCGCACTTTACTTTGGGCTTTTTTTTACGTTATCACCGCAGGATGGCTGCTTCGGTCGAGCCTTGTGTGATTCTACAGACAGGGTGGCTTGAGACTACGGCCTGCAGGCAGGCCCCTTTGAGCTTGGGTCCAAGTGAAGACCGTACGCCCTCCCCAGATACTATATCCCTGCATTCTATTCCTACAAGAGCTTTTCCGCCTGCTCGATCGCGTCCATGTCCGCGAAGAACTCCAGATTTCTGCTCGCGCGTGTTGCAGGGGCAGGCGCGGGACACGGCGAGGCAACGTAAGGACACGCACACACCGGGGAGAGGAGAGAGGGGGGCGTTGTGGGAACTTGGGCGACCAAGAAACAGGAGAGAGATGGACACACACAGACAGATAGATAGACAGACAGACAGACAAACAAGATAGACAAGACAGACAAGACAGACAGGCAGACAAGACAGACAAGACAGACGGACGAGACAGACAGACAGACAGACGAGACAGACAGACGAGACAGACAGACGAGACAGACAGACGGACGGAGACACCGAGACTCCCCCCCCCCCCACCCTCCTCCTCCTCCTCCTCCTCCTGCAACACCAAATAAGTCTGTGCGAAGGTTTCGGTACATACAAGTAATCGTCGGAAACAACCCAAGTCTGAACGCTTCAGCTGCAACAGCAGTGTAGCAACAACAGCAGCAGCAACAGCAGCATTTACAAATACGCGAAAATTACGGCCTACAGTAGCCTAGCATATCCGACTTTCATGGAACGTAAATAAACATCGGCGAGTTTGTGAGTTTTCCGGCATGAAATGGCATGATGCATGAATGCATACCTCTGGTCTCCCCCACCACGCTGCATCATGTCGATGATAGCTCCGATGGATGACACCTTTAATAACACCGGGAGAAACACCGTGACCGTTAAACACATTGTGACCGTTAGCCACAACATCACGAAGTAAACGAACGGAAAGAAAGCCCGCCACGTCTTGCGATCGGCGAGAAACAGGTCGTCCGCACCCAAAGCGAGCTTGATCAAGCAAGCCTGGTGTGGTCCACGAACACAGATGTCTGAGAGCGGCAGCTCGCCCACGATTACGGGGTTCAAAGGCGAGGAATTGAACGCGAACAAAGAGTACAAGGGGATTTCAACCGCAAGGTGCACGTAAAGCAGGATCTATTCTATACACACCTCACGGCACATAGCCGGAAGGAACTATCATACCTCTGCGCGGCAAAACGTCACGGCACACAGCTGAAACTGGGGGAGATCTAGACTGACAACGGTCTTCCAGAAAAGACACTAAGCCTCAACAACAACTCTTCAAAGGACCCTTTCGCAGACGGGCTCAGCAACATGGACGACTCACGCTTGCAGCCCCGACTACCATACCACATGCTTGCGGTCACGTCGCTGACTCACTTGAATCGTCGGAGACTTCGCTTCGGAACCTCCCTCCGTCTCCAACCTGTCCCAGCTGGTCATCAGGTCGTCCACGTTGGTGAAGAGGGGCAGCTGCGGACGGACACACACACAAAAAAAAAAAAAAAACGCCCGCGCCATGCACAGCAAAAAATTGTCGCGACTCATCTTCTTCGTGAAACTAGGGCAACGTCGTGTTGTACTTCGGTGAAAAAACAACGTTTCGATTCCCGATACAAGGTAAGGCCCCCCTGGAAAAATGCTCCGCCACACTGCTGTGCAGCCCCTGGAGCTCGGCACGGCTGCGGGAGAAGTGAGAGTGCCGACATCCCTGCGACCTCATCACACCTGTACTTCCCCTTTTTTAGTGTTCTTACCCCAGGGCACCCAGCATTTTACCCAGAACGATTAGTTCAAGTTCATGCGCCAGGGCACTCACCAAGACACATTTTTCCGTGCTGTAAAGATTTCCAACACATCCCTCCGACTACTGCGATACTAATAACTCCAACAGGTGGCCTGTCCGTGACTGTACACTGTACACTGTACAATACGGACATCTTCTGAGGCACACCCCGGCCTCTCCCATGCGAACACCAACAACGTATGCAACAGCAAAAGGCCCCCGCCAGCGGGACGCGCACGTGTTCCAACGCACTATTATAGTACATACTACCGTAGGTTGCATGACATGACACAACATACCACACCCCGTGGGACGATTTTCAAGGCTCGATTCCTCCAAGACGATGAAGAAGAAGAGGATGCATCAATGACACGATGCGTACATGAGCTCTCAACACCCTGTCTCCAACGCCGCCGTCTTGTGGCACCGCCTCCTCTCTTCTCTTTCTGCCGTGAGGAGGAATCGAGCTTTGGAAGTCGGGCCAGGGGGTGTGTGATATCTTCCATTACCATACGGTAAGCAAACCAGTCGGCCGGGTACAATGTACGTCGGTCACCTTCATCTTGTTCCCCGTCCCTCTGAAGGCGAGGGTCTCCGCCGCCCACACCGGCACGCCGCCCGCATCCGCGACGGCGTTCCAGCCCTGAGTCTGCCAACGACGGCGCGACACCAACGAGAACAAAAAAAATAAAAAATAAAAAAAACATGAAAGAGTGAGAGCCGGATGGATCCAACGCCAAAACATGAGAAAAGTGGGAACATTCCAGCTTTTGAGTCTGCAACAACGACGCGACACCAGCGAGAAAGAACGAAAAAAATCGCAGCGGGGTCCACCGCGGGAAGATGAAAAGTGGGACACGGGGCGCGAAAACATGAAAAGCGGGACATGAGGCGCGGACACATGAAAAACGTGGGGAACAGCGGGGAGCCGTGTTTGTAAGACGGAGGTATGAAACGTGGCTTGTTCCGAAGCTATAACAGGCAAAGTTTTCTACTTCTGCGGGGTAACATATATATATTTTCATGTGCACGCATGATGAGACGAGTGCGGGGTACAGTACACACGCGGGTGGGTGTGGATTGACGCACGTACCTGCTTTGAGATTATTGGTTGGTTCGTGAGGAAGAATAACGTGACTGACAATGATTGGGCGGACAGAGGAGTGGATAGACTCCCGGTATCTCCAACTCTGGTCACGACGACTCACGACCGTCTTTCACGCATTGCTTTTGTCGGAGATCACAGCAAAGCCGTGCCCACAGATATCGTAGCAGCCTGGGACGCGTCCGGTTCCTTGTTGGCGACGTTCTCCCGCAGAACACCCCAATATCTTCCCGCAGATACATTACACCGTGGACAATCTTCGCCATGTGTACTATTAATAAACAATACCACACGCTCGAGGGTGTGTTCCCGTACTAATAACGTACCTCCAGCGCCTGGGCGACCTGGTTGCTTCGCGGGATGATCCTGTAACGGGCGGAGAGGTCGCTAAGCCCCGAGGCCCCCGCGGCCACCGAATTCTTGTTCAGTCCCTTCTTCTTGATGAGCGGGTACCAGACGTCGTCGAGCGTCGTGGCCGCTACCTGTTGTTGTTTACGCCCCAGCAGAAACAAAAAGACGGATTGCCGGCACACAGCAGTACTTGGAACACGGGGACGCAAGGCACGAGAAAGAGAGAGAGAGGGAGACACATACACGAACACACACAGACGGCGAGAGAGAGAGAGAGAGAGAGAGAGAGAGAGAGAGAGAGAGAGAGAGAGAGATGCAGCAGTTCCACGACAAGGACACCTATGTACGTGCTCCTTTCCTGTAACAGCAACACACCTTCGTCCCTTCCGCGCCCTTGAGGTCTTGAAGCTTTTCCTTGGCGTCTCCCGGGGACATGAAGAAGAGACCCTCGCCGTTCTCCACGTGCACGGCACCGCTCTCGTCCCTCAAGAAGAAGACCGGGATCTTTTTTTCACCAAGGCAAGGCACACGACAGAGGTCACGCACGCACGACGGCAGCACGAGCCAAAAACACAAGGCGAACGAAAGGGTCCACGCAACTTACACAGAGAGGTCGCGCAAGGCACCACAAGCAGTAGAGCAGGACTGTTTCGGAGCGAAGGCGATTTAAGACGGGGGGGGGGGGGGGGGTTCCTTTCGCGGACGATCTTCCCAACGCTGTTGGGCCTCCACTAAATACCAAAAACAAAGAACAAGGAAGGATTTGTCGGCTTTTTTTTACTCCAGGTTATTCAGTGGTACTGATTATTTCCTCTCCTTTCCAAGCTCTCCCCTCCGTCACCTGGGAAAGTTTCTTCTGGATCTCCGGCCTCGTCATGGCCGTCAGGATCCCTACAGGTGCAAACACATACACACACACACACACATACAGCCGGATAGCGCGGTCGATGGTTACAATGGAGACACACGCGCGAGAGAGAGCGCATGCGGGGCGGGGCATGAAAATCAGATGGATCGCCTTGTGCTCCAGGGGGCTCGGTCCCTGGCAAGCATGGAGCAGCAAGTCTGATATATACCCACAGCACGGACGGTCGGTAGAGTATGGCGACCAAGACGCCCAAGCAAGAAGGACAGGCGGACAGACCACCGGGCCCTTCTTGAAAGCGCACACAATCAAGGCAAGTAGTGCGCGCAGGCCAGCAGTTTTAGGGCGGGGGGTTGAGGAGGACCATGCGAGTACTCAAACAAGGGAAACAGAAGCGCTTTTCCTCTTCTGTACCACCGTAGTAGCAACGTTAAAGTACACGGGAGACAAAGACACGTGGCGAAAAAGGGAAAGCATCATCGGGTTAGGGGTAGGAGTAGGGGTAGGGGTACCCTATACCTATGGAAGGCGTTCATCGTAACTCCATCAGAGGCGTTCTTTTCAGCGCACTGCTGGCTCAGGAGCTCAGCCCTCTCTCACCTCTTTCGGAAGTGTTACCGTCTTCGTCGACAACGCGTACAGTCTTAGGGCCTTTCGACTTTGGCAAGCAGCAGCGGCAGCAGCAGGTTGGGGCGCGGCGCGGCAGATCAGCTTTTCGTGTACCGACGTCGACACTGCGTCCGTTTACAGCGGGGAAGGGGACCTCTGTGTCCTCCCTTCAGGCCTACTCTCTCATGTCACCAAGCGTTTAGAGAGACGACCTACGTTGCGTATGCCGTCGTGTAGCGCAGAGCCCCAGCCGTAGATCAGACCAACCACTCTAACATAGTGGGGGCGACGCAGACTGCAACAGGGACCCCCCCACCAGGCGCGGGGCCCCCGACTCAAGACCGACCCCCAAGACCGGTGCTTTACCAAGTACAACGGCCCCCCACACACTGAAACCAGTACAATAGAAACCTCATACTAAAACCTATACCGGGCCAGTGATAACGTGCACTTAACCTTCGACTTTTGTAGCAGTCTCTCCCGATATGTACGCCACGAAGACACTGCTGTTCGTGTCTAGACGTCTTGCAGGGACGTCGTAAAATTCCAGAACAAAACAACTTACTTGTCGCAACATCAGATCAGAATTGTCAGCTCATCATGCGGTCAACCACTACCTAAAAAGCAGCGGTCAAGTCCGTTCTTCAGAGGTTCTTCGCTACACCGCCCCACCAAAAAAAATTTCACGGGTGCATCCACACGTTCAATCGAGGGTGAGAAAAGTGCTGCAGTTCCCTGCTGGAATCGCGAGGTCTTCATGTGTAGCAGACAGAGGATCGATTTTCGCGACCACGGCGCCGCTTTCACGCTCTCCTCAATTGAAGGGAAAACCTATACCCCAGGTTTTACTACTTTTACCACTTGAATTGCAAGAAATGACCACGATCAAGAAGCGTGGGCTAACTCGGAAAAAGACAGGGGTCACCGAAACTACATACGACAGAAAGCACTACCACGTCGAGCGAACGACAGGAACAAAGACAGCTGAGCGTTGATGGCGAGGAAGGATACGAGTGCAACCCTGGCATTATGGAAGTGACCTTTCAAAAAGGGTCTCATATCCCCCCCAACGTCTGTCAAGAGAATGGTTCCCTCCTTTCACAGCAGTGTAAGCGCAGGTTAAAACCACGTTAAAATTAAAATCTAACGACGTGAGAATAAGGGGGAGTACGTCGTTCAAGTACAACGTTCGGTTCAAGGTGGGTCAAGCAATAAAAAACTCCCATCTCGAACGGGTATTGTTGTGTTTTCGGTGTTTGTATGCATATTTTCAAGTTAAAAGACCGGGCCCGCTTTCTCTCGGCTCGCTTTCTGTCCCACCTACCTGCTGCTGTGGCCCCAATGACAAAAATGGGATCGCCGACACCCCGATGGTCGAGCCGACGATCAGGACGGTCCCCAGGGTCTTCGCCGATCGTGTGCAGCAAAAGGTACATGCGGGCGCAGCAGCGGCAACGGTGATATTTCGATGTGGGTGTGTGTTCCACACACACAAATTTGATGCATAAGAGATGGAAGCCAGCCTTTTCGTCTGCAGCAGTAGGAGGTCACCTCAAATGGATACGAGCACGGTAATTGCCCCCTATGCCTTGGCTACCCGACAACGGTGATGCACGAACAAGGCAGAGAGCAAGAGCGCGCGTGGATGCTGCTGCCTGTTTCGCGTGCCAACTTCTGTAAGCGCTGCGTTGTACACAAGGGAAGGTTCCAAGGAAACGACCGGCCAATTTGCTTCACCACGTTGTTCTACAGCAGCATTTAGAAGTCGAAAAATAAACCATTGGAACAGTCAGCGCTGACAAGCCTACACGGCTTGAATTCGGCTTGCACAGCGGTACGACCAGCGATTGAAGACGAAAGTAAAAGAGCCCGTCCTTCGACCGATCCGCCACGAAAGGCTGGGGCTACTCGCGTGCAAAGCAGCCACAAGTAAGTCTTGAGTACACATCAGCAGCGCAAGTGGCACCTTCGTGAAGTTAGGTTTGGTCATAGAGAGTGGCCGAACGCCCCTGGCGTGGTTCCGGCTTTCGGTGACCCGCCCATAAGCCTCTTGAGTCCCCACTGCTGGCAAGCGGAGAGGGGGCGAGAGAGGCCAGTCGAGAGCAACCAACCGCAGCAGCATGAGAAATGGGGATACACGAAGAAGCAGCAGAACGGTGAGGTGGTTGCGGTACGAAGATCGAGCAATGGATGGGCTTGCGTGCAGTTCTTCGCGCTAAGGCAAAGATGTATTTAATCACCACCGTACAGCAGTACATGTACATGTATTACTGCTGTGTGCGCATACTTGTAGCAATGACCTGGCATTTGTGGTGTTCATGATTCCGATCATCTCCGGAGATACGCTGTGTCGGCGTCGATCATGCTGATACGCTGCCGTTGACGTGTCCACATGTGATATCACTCGATTGGAATCTCTACACCGCGCAAGGAGCGAGTTGGCCGTACGCCACGCCTTGCACTACAGCAACAGTAGCCCTAACCATGATGCTACTCGAAATATCAACACCCGTTGGGTCTTTCCGCCCCTACTCTCCCTCTAACATGAATGAGCTCTTGCAGAGCGGCTCTCTCACTCACCTAGGAAACCGTTGCCGCGGGTAGAGCTAGCACGCAGCGCACTACGTGCGCAAGAAGAGGCAATGAACCCATGCACCGAGGCGACAAGGAAGAGGCCTGCAGGCGAGCGGGTGAGCGAGTGAGTGGAGAGCACGAAGGTCACGGACAACAACGGGGCTACTGCTGTAGCGCGTTGGCATGATGAGGCACATGAGCACATGAGAGTTGTGTCTACGGCGGCGGTCTTCACCTCAGGTTGCACCGCCGCCATGCATACTTCTGCACTGCTGTATAATGTACCAGCTTCTAGATGAGCTGGGTTAAACACACACACCTGTCACGCCGCATAGGCTTGTCCCCTTCATCTTTCCTTGTGGACGTTAAGGCTGAGAGTAGGCGAGGAGAGAGGGAGAGAGACAGACAGACAGACAGACAGACAGACAGACAGACAGACAGACACAGCAGACACAGCAGGAGCGAGGTTGCAATTTGTTTCCGTCGGTCGGGACTGTCAGGTCTGTGCCGTGCGCTGGGGCATTGAGCCGCCATCGGCGGTTACGTGCGCTATCTACGTGATCAACTGTGTCCGATAAGCATGTCTCAGGCCTATAAGACCGACACATGACACTAGTAACCAGCGGTTGTTGGGTGTTTTTAGCTGGACTTTTTGGGGTACAGGTGTCGTGCAGGTGTGCTGCCTGTGGTTGTTTCCACGTTCCACGTGCTCCACGTGCAGCAGCCCCTGGTGGATTTTATCCGCTTTATTTGTGCTCAAAGGACGTTACACAGAAGCGTTATTACCTCACTTGCACATGAAGTCCTTCTCGCGGGTAGTGGTCCGTTCTTCTGGGAAATGAGTGTCGTTGTGATCCAGTCCGTTTGGCCGTTTGGATCTAGCCCGAGACTCTGTCGGCCGTTGCGTGCATGCATAGTATGTTGAAGAACCCACTAAATACATAACGGCAAACATGAGCCACGTTTAACGTGTCGGATCTTGGATCTTGGATCCATCCGCGGGTATCTCGATGTTTTTTGTTTTGCAAGCACGTCTTCAGCCAGCCAGCCAGCCAGAGAGATCCCTTTACAACCTGATTGGTCTAGACGAAGATCGGCGAGATCATCCAACACACCGAACGTCAGCACACGGAAAAAGTCGAAACTTGCACGACGCAGGAGGTGATGTCTCCCCCATATGGCCAAAATTCCTGATGAAGAATGGCATGCTGTTCAGCACTTGCATGCCATGCCGGGCGCCGGGCACCCACGTCGACAACGATTGGTGTCCCCCCCCACGACACTCCCAACTCTCAACCGCACACCCTGCCGTACGACGATTCAACGTTTTGCGACATTTGGTAGACTATTCTCCCTTGAACGGCTATACCATCTGAAGTAGCTGCATCCTCTTTCAAAATGAAAAAAAAAAACGAATGCTACTACTCTTCTTGTGCATGGTGGCCGGCTTACAAAAAGCTCCCTCTTTGTTCCCAAATGAGCCACATGCTTCAGGCACCGTATGCCATCCCCAGCACGCGGGCAGCCTCTACAGACTCCATGAGCCGCACACCCGCGGTGGCGTCCTTGTCCCTTGCCTTCTCAGCCTTGACGCGAACAACGCCGTCGTTGTTGCCAACCGAAGAATCTTCTGCCGCGCCTCGGCCGCTCTCGCCGGCATCAGCCCAAGTAGCCACAGCTTCAGAGGCCTTCCGAAAAAAAGAGGAGGGAATAGGATCAACATGGATAGATAGGTTCCACGGCAGTGGGGTGGTACATAAATATGTTATATTTTTTAGCCTACTACTGCTGCTGTTGTCCACATGCACAATTTGTACCACGAAAGCTAGTTCGAAACCACATGCGTGTCGGGTTCTGGTCCAACAACCTCAAAACGACTGCCGAAGGGGACCGATACCCATGGGACACCAACAACAAATAAATCCGCACGGTCACGTCTGGGGGGTGAAGCAAACCATGACTCCAAGGAAGGATACATACAGAAACAACAAACAGCAGTGTGAAGAGATTTCGTGTCTCCGGTCGACGCAAGGCTCAACGCCGCCGGCACCGCAATCAAAAGCCCTCCGCTGTCCATTCTTAAAATCCCCAACCGCGGCGTCACCCAACCAAAAACATTCAGGTGATCCCCACACGAAGAACTACTTCGTAGCTCGTAAAAACGTCTCCCTCAGGGCAGGGTAACGCCCATCTTCACCTGAAGTTCCCGCTGGAGACCGGAGAGACACTCTTCTGTCTCTGAAGAGACATGTCCTCGAACTGCGTCTAGCAGCACCCCGGCCCAGGGCTGCTGCTGCTGCTGCTGCTGGCTGCTATCGTGCCCGCCTTCTTGCGTCGGCTGCGGGAGCCCCGGGGTTGGAAGCAAGGGGGTAGCCCCGGTGACGCTCTGGAACACCACAAGTGCGGCAAAGTGGAAGACGTCTCGCTCTGGAGGGGGGGGGCGAGGCAAGTCACACCCAAGGAAGCGGCAACGCGGAAGAGAGCGTCAAAATCTCGCCGGCGGAGAAGGCAGGCACTCGTGTCGTGCCGTCAAACGTACACGTTCATTTGGTCGGCTTTTTGAAGCTGAGAGCTTTCGTTTCTTCCTACCTTTCAAATAGCCGTCGTAAATCGACTGTGTCTGTTGTGGGACCGCAGAGGAGAAGGACGAATGCGCTTTCGAGATTCTGCTGTGTGATGATAGAATTACGTAGCCCACCGCAAAGCTACCAGGCCCGGCCACAACTTCACAACTACAACGAAGCAACGCCACAGCAGTTTGCTCAACATCCAAGTGTTCAACTTCAACGTCGCCGTACGAAAGCAAGAGTAATGGAAGGTTGGCTGGTCACCGCCTCCGACCGTCGTCGCACCTGAGACGCTTCGGAACAAGCTCGCCTTCGTCTCCCGCTGTCTGTCTTCGACCATCAGGCGTTCTTGGCGCTTGTCCAGACGCCTACCGACCAGGTTGCACACGGGAAACACCTGCTAGGGCAGAGCGTCGGGCCGAGTTTATGTAGCTGGTGGTAAACAAGGACAAACAGTTCAACGATAACGATAGACATCTCTCCGAATCTGGTACAAAGTACACCATTGACGAGCTGCAGCGGGGTTCATGCCTCTCTTGCGACGTTCTTTGCGCCACGACAAACCCAGTTTGCTGCGACTATGCAACGGAACAAGAGCATCATGAGAGAATTCCTCAGTTACGCGAAAAATATGGTTACGTCGATGCGCGTGACACGAATCGCGTCAAATGTAACACGCCCCAAGAGTCGCGAAACCTGTCCGAAACTAGCGCTACTTCCACATCGCGACTCAAAGACATAGAAGTGGTTTTCTTCAAGTGAGGCATGCATAGAGCGGTGAGAAGAAACGGTATAATACTTCGGATACCCTCTCCTACGCTAACCCGTCCATCTGAACGAGACACTGCCTGAAAGGAAGAACCCTTCTGAGACACGAGACCCCTTTCAACAGGCGAGCCTCAAAACGCAACACCCTTACAAAGCTCATTGATTCGGAACGATACAACAGCAGGCAACAGAGAAGAAGAGAGGGTGTCCCGGACGAAAGCTGCGCAGGAACGCACTTGGCGTGGTCGCTGCCGCAGACAGGCCCGGACGAGGACGGACCCAACCTGCCACTGCTGTCATCTTCTCTATTATTTTTTATTTTCCTTTATCGTGAAGGCGTGGGCATACATACATACATACATACATACGTACATACCTGATCTTCGAGAGTCTCACAGAAATCCGACAGCTGACAGCCGGCCGTCGCGGCCTGCCACAGGCGCACGAGGGATCCCGCCACGTCTCCGGACAGAACCTCGGCTAGAGCGGAACAAGCAGCCTGCGGATACGCCAAAAAATAAAGCGCGCGCCCCAAGCATAAAACGTGCGACGGCGATTAGCGACGGGCGTGTACGTGGTGTCTGCGAGGTTGGGCGTAAGATCGATCTCCAGAAACTGCTGTCGCTCTTGTAATAACGTCAAGCCAGCGTGCAGCAGCACTGCTACTTGCAACGTGATGTTGTTGGAGCTGTGGTGAACGCTTTTTGCCACCTTCAGGACTTGAAAATTCCTCCTTCGTTCTTGTCAGTACTCCCAAAGCCTCTTCGTTGATCCCACCGAGAGCGGGAGATGCCACTTCGCTCAAGGGTGTGTGCGCGGAGGGAGACCAACGATATTCATATCACCAACGAACCTTGGAAATGAAAGGCATGCGCTCCTCTGGACGTCGGCATGCTCCTCCGTCCTGTGAAGCGAACGGGATACCCTGTTGAAAGGCAAGGGCAGCCGGAGCGTCAGCTACACCGACACACCAGATGCACGCACACTTCGAAGGTGACGCATCTCCGAATCAGTCCCCGGTACGTTCCGTCAACGGCATCTGGTATCAAAGTATTTCCGTATCCACAACCCGTTTGACGAGGTCGAGAAGGTTAATCATGAGCACAAGTCAAGCACACTGTCGTGCACCACGCACACGGACATACAGTATCTCGACACACTGCTGCGCATACCGTGCTCGAAAATGTCAAAGAGAGCTATTAATAGATCCGCACGGCACGGAGCCGGATCAAAATCTCACCAGCTTCTCGCACTCTCTCGCGGTCACCAGTTCGGCCAGCTGAGCTCCTAACGTCCTGAGCAAGTACTCCTCGGCGAGCCCTTCCGATTCACAACCATCTTTGCCGCTGACGGGAGGGCCGTCCCCGCCATCGGGATGCCTAGGCACAGAGCGCTGCTGCTGCTGCTGCTGCTGTCGCAGAGAATTGCGAAGGGCTTGCACTCCTCGGCAGCGCAGCTGGAAGTCAAAGTAGCTCGTTTCAAACGCCGTTTCGAACGCATCCGCCCGCTCGTGAAAGCTGTCGGCGCTACTCCTCTAGATCAATCGCCGAGAGATGCCAACACATTGGGGAGGGAGGGAGGGAGGGAGGGAGGGAGGGAGGGAGAGGGGGTGTCACAATCAAGATCCGGGACGCGGTCCAGGCGCTTCGAATCCGGAACGCAGGAGCCGTGAAGAGGACAATGGTGAGACCGCGGGAAGTTTTCATGGTGTATCATCGTCGAGTGGAAACGCGCCGGCTTCCGAGAAGGAGAGACTCAAGGCACAACCCGCTTGCAAAGCTTGCAAGCTTTACACATCGAAGCAAGCCAGCTTCTCAGCAGAGAGACTCACGACCAGACCCAACCCGCTTGCCAAAACTTTACCAGATTTGCACATTGAAGCCAGCTTTTTTCAAGAAACTCAAGACACAACACGCAGAGCAAAGCCTACACGCCTTTCACATCGAAGAAAGCCAGCTTCTTAAATAGAATGAAGAGACTCGAGACCCAACCCGCGTGCGAAGCCTGCACGTCGTTCGTCCGACCGACCCGACCGGCTCACTTGGTTTGCTCGTCGGACCACCTCCTCCCTCGCCTCCCGCAGAGCAGGAGCAACGTGCGCTCCCAGGGCCGTCACCAGGCGGGCGAAGTCTTCCAGCTCGGGCCTGCAACGCCGAACGAAACGCTCCGCTTCTCTCTCGGCCGCAAGGTCAACCTGCATTGGACGCAGGGATGCCAGCAGGGGGAACGGGGGACACGTCCATGCTTGTAAGCGACCGTATACCGGCCAGGCGCACCGTTCATGTACACAGAACGGGGGTGCTTGTGCAGACGCGTCGCTTCGGGAGCCCTGCTTTACGAGAGTACGGCCAAGCGCAGGTTTCGAAACATGCAACCTTGGGACAACGCGCCGGGGCCTGCAAAATCAATATTCTAGAGCGGGAAAATCGTTTTTCTTGTTTGTGCCCGTTTCGCCCCAACGAACGGCCGTGATCTGGGCTGCAAGCCTGGAAGCTACTACAAACTACACCAGCACTCACGTCTCCGCCGGGCTTCCTCGAACCACCTCTCTTGCGATTCTTGCCGCCGCCCTTGCGGGAAGAGCCGCCGCTAGCGCTGGCGCGAGCCGGGTGCCCCTCGCCCCCCCACGAACCGCCAGAGGGAGCGGTAGAACTCGACTCCGATGCGGCTTCCTCCCGAAACTGAGCGATGATGCCTTGCACAAACGTTGCGCTTACGCCATACACCTTTTTTCCAGTGTTGGGGGGGCAGAAGGGCCACGTTGTAGCGGCGAGTAACCCAACAACCTTACTCTTGGAAACAGGAAGAGGCAACCTGGTACAGCGCAACCTTCGTTCCAGCGCGAGCGAGAGTCTTGTACATGCGCCACACACCAACCACAAACGTAGGCGCTTTCGAGACACTCACCCCGAGCTGCAGCACCTTCAGGGGGTCCCCGTCCGAACGCTTACACGCGGCGCACATTCCCACCAGATGGGCCGCATCGGCATCCGACAGGACGGTTGGAACTACTGCCCACGCCTGAACCCAAATGAAAAGAGCAGCATCAAAGTCAGGCAGGGGGGCAGATGGACGTATGTCGCTTCAACAGTCTCTCCGCAAAGAAAAATGTTTGCTCTATAAAGCGGAAGAATACTTGAAGCCGCGGATGACCTCATTGTGGGGGAATGCCGAAGTGTGAATTTCATGAAAGGGCGACACCGCAATTGAGCTCTGTGAGCTCCCAGTGTACGACAGCGGAATGAAACCACCTCTCGAACACATGCACCTAGGTACCAAAAGAGGAGCAGACTAGACGCTCAGTTTGACAAGGTGTGGCGTCTGCATTAGTTGCCGAAACTTCGTGGAACCTTCTTGGATTGGTCAGAAAGCCAACCACCAAGAAGAGTATGACAGGGAAAAAAATCCCTCTCCTTCCAGACCACTGATTTCAGCAACAAGATTTACCGCTTGAAGCCGATAGACACAACTTCCAAGTTATTGTGCTTGTAAAAATGCAGCGAAGCGTCATCAATCAAACTCCCGTATATCGTAGATATATATGCGGATAAAAATCCGAAACACTTTGACGATTGAGTAGGAGTCGGCTCGCACCCTTGTTAACCCCCGCCTTCACCTCAAACCACGACGCTTCGGCAACGGCCCCGTCTGCCACCGCCTGGAGCCGCTCGACCACCGCACTGCTCACGACCACCTTCTCTAGGAGCACGGCATCGGGGTGTCTGTCCCTGACAAACGCGTGAAGCTTGCGCACCTTACGCCGACCGCGGCGTTACGATGGGGCGCGAGCACGACGGAAAGTTGTGCACAGGGGCAACGATTGAGAGCTGCATTACTGAGGAAGACGTCATCTGTCTATCCACCCGCACCGCAGCCAACTTGCATATCCCTCACAACAATATCACGACCTCGCCAATGCCGTCAGTCCTCTCAACACTCGGAGTACCGCTATTTACTTGTCCGCTCTGGTAGCCGGAACTCTCGGCCCTCACAAGCAAGCTATAGCTTCGTGGCGCTGCGGTGGAGGACAGAAAAAAAAACGCAAACAGCACGCGATAAATGACCTCCGACAACGATAACAGAGGGTGATCGAAAATAGCGCAGCGGGGGGGGAGGGGGGTAGGGAGGGGGAGGGTCAACACCCAAAAATTCGGTATGGATTCCATTCCATGTGCACGCCGCAAGGTGTAGGATATCCTGGCACCGTCCGCATTTTTCGTCTGAACCTGCAGGCCTGATGCGGTGGCGTGGTCCAGGTAGTCGTTGGCAGAGAAGAAGGCGTGCGCGGCTTCGTGCTGGGCCGCCACAAAGGAGTCCGGAACGTAAGCTTGGGCACCACGCGCACCGCCAGCGAGCGACCCCTCGAGCTCGCCCGACTGGCACCGCGGCGTCCACCGTGGGGCATGGGTACGGCCAGCGAGAGATTGGGGAACAGTGTAGAAGTGTAGGCACCACCACGAGACGGAGAAGTAGGGTTCAAGTTGACAGAACCGCGGGACGCGTGCGTGCGAGACTGGTGTCCCGTCGCCAGGAGCACGAAAAGCAATCTGCTACCGCGTGCCAGGTACACATTGCGATAAACACTACACCGCAGTAGCGAAAACAGTGACTAGCTTTACCCTGCAATAAAAACAAAAAAGACAACGATATCACGCGATAAACCGGCTGGTTAGGAGGGGTTGACTCAAGTGGTCACACCGCGCACTCGAGAGACGAAAGAGTACTTCACAGCCCGTAGCGCGACACTCTAGACCGACGACGCCCTTTCCAATGACGAAAACGACGGGCAGCAAGCAGTCTCTGGGGGGCATGGGTTTCGCAGCAAAGCGTTTACGGCGGGCATATGGTGTAACCGATGCCACAGTCAAGACAAGTCCAATCTACAGGAAATACCTGACACAAGGACAAGCGCCAATCCTGGCCAATCCAGCCAAAGCTAAGGGATATGAATTCAAGGGAGAACATCCGGGTGCGACGATGCCCCGCTGGCCTCGGGGTTACTTTTAACGTGCCTTCTCACCTCCGTTAACCCTGTCAGCAGCTCGAGGGCCATCTCTTCCTCCTCTGGGTGCAGGAGATCACAGTCTTCCATCAGCTCTTCGACCGAACGCGGCTCCGTCGCAGCGCCGCAAATCGAGCATAGCTGAAATGGTATTTAGCGGCACATGGGGGTGTTCGACTAGAACTTGTTGTGCCAGCGGTTTCGAGACACACGTAAGGCAACCGGGTATGGTGTTTGCTACTGCTTTTGTTAATTTTCAAAGCAGTCGCATCACGCAAGCGAAAAGCGAACATCTTGCAACCAAACGGCACCACAGCCATGGAATTACTCCAAATAATGGACAACATTCCTGCATACGCATTGACGAATAGCGTGTTCCACGGGAGCCGTTCGAACGCTGCGAAGTAATTTTTCCGCACACGAAAAGCATCATGTCCTATTCCATTATTCCGAAGGTTGAGGAAGGAGATGGCCTCTACCCACACGAAAAAATGAACGGGCTTGTACAACTGAGCATTACGGTAACTCGCCGCGTAGAGACCTGAGCTTCCCAACACTACAAGCATACCCTCAGAATGGCATTGGTCTGTAAGGACGACGGGTACAGCTGTGAAATGTTGCAATATCAGTGATTCTCACCTCGGCTCGTTTCGTCTTTTCGTAGGCCTCCGTCACTAGGGCCCCGCTCACTAGTTTGAGCTTTCGCGCCGTCATGAGGTGGGATCCTGGGTCATGCATCCATTCCGAGACTAGAGTCCCTGTGAACTGCTCACGACAACATGGTCCAAAGGCCGGGGGGGGGGGAGGGGGGGCTCTGAGCGAGGTTATCGAACGGATTCTGCTGTTGTAGGTGGAACTTGAGCGGAGGCACATGCCAAACCAATAGGGCGCTGGACGTGATCAGACCAACATTCATTTGTTGCCAACCAAGGGCAAAAGGAACAATCATGACGACGAGTACCATCCCTTTCAACCTTGACCGCAAATGCCGATGGTGCTTGCGGTGCCGTGCTCGCGACGTTCGGCCGACCAACCACTCTGCTACCATACGTAGGCAGCACGAAACTCTTACCTCGACTGGCAGCTTGAGAATTGGCGCCAATTCTTTCAGTGAAACCCGCCCTCGTTCGGCGGCAGCTGTACCTGCCTCGAGAGCCAGAGAGGATAGGTATGCGCTGGTAAAGACCTGAAGTCCCTCTTCGCACTGGAACCAGCGGCCATGCAGCTGTTCCGTCCAAAACTCCCTGACGGCTGCTCCAATAGTCGTTTGACAAACGCCGGTGGCAACCTGGACAAAGCATTTGGCGGTAGGGAGTACAGGCATGGGGGAGGGGGAGGGCATTTCTCCTAAAATACAAACGATAGATAGTGCTGCGTGTAGGTTACGAGAGTCACATTCCTAAATGCACCTTCGACGCTAGAATCGTTGCTCAACTAATAGCGTAGCAGAAACGATATCGATGTGAATGGAGCTTTCCGCTACGATATCACTGTCGAAAGTGTCCAGCATGGTGTGAGCAAATACGTACTGAAGCATCACTTTTCTCGAGGCCCCGTCTGACTTCTCGCAATCTGACACAGGGCAATCATGCACGTATACAATACGCGAGTGCCTCCCCGTCCGAGAATTGGCTTCCTGTTCGTTTTTTGGCGATGTATGCGGGAAGATGCCCCACTTACATAGTATGAAGTAGACCCAGCTCGATCCACGCCATACGCGACACGGACAGGTAGGTGTGATTGGCCACCAAGACAAATCATTTTGATGGGTTTGAGTCTTTGCCCCTACGGGCCTTGTTGTTTTATTGCACAGCAGTATTCGCTTCAAAAATATATTGTACGATCCAGGAACATTGAAAGGATATCACATGCTTACATGCGTGGTCTGAAGAAAGAGACCATTTGCACTGACATGAAAAGGCTCACACGCAAGAAGATCGAGTTACAACTAATCCGACAGCTGAACCACACACCTCCAACTCATGAGACGAGGCGCGTCCTCCGGCAGTGTTGATGGCACTCACAATGTCGGCTCTCAGTCGACCCGTAGTCACGATCTCTCCGCCATCTGCTGTTGTGGTAGCCTGACCGCACACACACGGAGGGGGGGCATTGAGAGACGAGGACATCTTCGATCTTATTATCATCGGGGTGTCGTAACACATAGACAGCAGTGTGTGCAAGACTTTGTGCAGTCTACTGCGTCCACTGAAATTGTACTGGGGAAGCGTAACGATGCAAAAGAAGCACACAGCAGCAGACTCAAAGGTCAACCTACATACAATGAAGTACGACACTGCTGTACTGCTGTATGCTACGCGTTGCACACTTGTCACCCTGACATCACTGCTGTTGGAGTACAATACCTGAACTACGTGTATGTACTGTATGTACCTGGACGAGGCCCTTCATTTTCTCCAGTAAGAGTGGAACATGATCCGAACCCAGAGATACTCCAGACGACATTGGGCTGCTAGTCAACGAAGTGAAAGACAACTTGGCCCAAGGATCAGTGCGCGATGCCCGAGACGTGAGAACCTGCTGCTGGCTGTGGTCACGCCGCATTTTTGGGTTTCAAACACCGAAGCGTTTTTAGGCGGGAGAGAGAACCCTACAATATCGTTTGACATTTTGACATATCGATCGGGTCATTGTATGTCGAATACACACCACGGCCGACTCGAAAGTCACAGAAAAGCTCATCAAGAAACGTCTGCAATCGGCCCCTAGGAAGAACCAGAGACCAACGACCAACCTGCGCATGGGATTGACCAATGGTTGACTGGCCGCACAGGGTTGTGGTCATAAACCCCGCCGCCCCACCCGCCTCAGCGTGGAACACCAATTCCTATCTGTTGTCCCCCTCTCCGGCTGCCACTGCGGCTGCACCGCTTGTAGCACTGCGTCAGGAGGTCGACGTCTCCGCTGAAGCGCTGCCACGGACTTTTTGTTTCGCTGGAGCTATTGAGAGCATTGTATTTCTGATCAAGTGAGTGACGGTCTCTGTCTATAGACTGTTGCACCATGCATGTTTTTCATGTTTTCCACTGCTGCTGCTGGTCGCCTCTTCTGCAACGTACCCCTGTGCCTCCAACCTGTGGCCTGCCTCGATATCATGGCCTGAGTGTGCATGTTCCCTTACGGTTCGCGCCTGTCGAGATGCTCCTACTTACAGCAGTCGCATATGTTTCGACGACGTCTCCTAGCACGCTTCGCGTCTGTGTTGCATGCAATGTATGCATAACCTGGAGCATACAGAATTCGCGGGATCCCGGACACCGCAGTTGTAGCAGCCCACATGCATGATCTCCTGCTGCCATTTCCTTTGGTCGCGCCCACGTGGTGTTCGGGGTATCTGAGAGGATGAGGCAGGTTGATTCTGGGCCGCCCACGACCACGCATACGCGTGTTTGCTGCTGAAGCAAAGGCCGACTACAGAGCGTGCAAGGAAGCGCATGGTTTACTTCTGGGTTCTGAGTATGCATACCATGGTTGGTTGTACCAGAGAGTACAGCAGCAGCACTCCACACACACCTGGTTGTTCCAACGGTAGGTGCAAGTGAGCGATGTTGCTGCCGCCGCTGTTGCCGTTGGTCGCCTCCTGCCTACGCAAGTATCGCAAAAAGGTGGCGGCACATGTGCTTAGTCGCAAGTCCGACGTGGTGCATGTGGGCAAAGTTTAAATTACTTGCTGAATCTCTGACGATGGTGCGGTCACGGTCTTTGTCCAGCAGCAGTGGTACAGACCTCATTTACAGCGAGCGGAACTTTTGTGCCTGTTGCGATCAAGCTCTCGGCTGTTCATTACGGGAGTGCGACGTCTCATTTGCACATGCATGTCCTCGGCACTGGCGTACCCATATCAACCATCTCTCGCATCACAGGCGGTTTGTTGTTTGCTGCTAAATAGGGCAAGTTTTAAGTCGTCATCCGCCATTGCATCCCCGGGCTGCAGAACTCTGTTTTCTCGATCTCTCACATAGGCAGCGAGCGCAGTTAGCCAGCTTTCGTATCTCGCCGAAGTTCTGTGCATGTGTCTGCGTTGTCGCCAGAACGCTCCTGGGTCACGAATATAGGGTCGTGATCACGGTTTTTTTCTCCTTGCCCAGCCTAATGAAGGAACATGATCACACCGGATGTAGATGACACAAGATAACACACCCACATAAGAAACCACACCCCCCACCGAATACGACACCCCGGTGATAATTTTCGGCGTTTCTGATAACCCACCGATTTATCACCGGGGCTACATAAGATAAGACACCCCTTGAGGTTACGCCGCACGCTCCTCCGTCTATCACCGGGGTGATACAACATCTGCCGCGTGGGCATGTGGGTATCTCACACACACAGCATCTGCGCAACTCTCTTTTGGTCGTACCCAATAGCAAGGTATGCAGGAGCCTAAATTTTTGTGTGAGAGGGTAGGTCGGATGGCGCACTCTGTGACCACCGAGTCATGTGCTCAGGAGTTTCGTCACCTCCGTTCAGCTCCTTTGGTTTACCACAGTCCGCAGAACCACGAGTAAGTCATGAAGTGGTCTTACAGGCATTGCTATCACACCCCCGCAATACCAACCAAGTGTGCGGCAGCAGCGGTTCAACTCTACAAGAAGTGTTATAGCACCTTTTTATCACACACCCTCATTATCACACCCAAAACTCACCCTGTGTGTGTTCGGACGTGCTATCACACCCCCTGGTTTATCACACCCCCTTAAGGGCCCAAGCGAGCTGCACTTCATCACCCGGGCTACATAAGATACCACACCCCCCACAGGATATCACACCCGGTGATAATATTTTTAAAGCCCACAATGTTATCACCGGGGTGTGTCATCTTGTGGCGTCTACGGTATGCATGGAAAAACACACGACGCCTTGCATTTCTTGAGGGGACAGCGGCGTGCGGAAGCAGCTGCAGACATTGTCTGCAGGAAACAAAAGAATAAAAAAAAAGGGCAAATATTATAGTGGTCGAGACACACGGGTCGAGAAAACGGCCAGTTCCACGCCTCCCTCACCAACACTCCGACCGACGCGCCTCGCGAAATCTGTTCGATTGACCATCACACTTCACACGGATTCCTCTTCGTCACTGCTGTACATTGTACCCGTCGTGAAAAAAAAAGCTCTCGGAGGAAATAAGGCCTCAAGGCACAGCTGTAGGAACGGATATTCTCGACAAGAGCGTGGGACGAAGTCATGGGCAACACCGACAGGAGAGGGCCGGAGATATCAGATGGATGGCAGGGCACGAGCGAGGACGGTTCTAACGTCGACACGTCCAGCGGGGGGCCGCTGAAGGTGGCCGTCATTGGCGCAGGCGTCGCCGGCCTAGGTGCGTATACGTGTGTTTGTGCGATTTCCTTGCGATCTACGTACCTTATCATACGTAGTCTTGAGAACTCTGTAGTCATCTGTTTATATAGAGGCGACGGGGTTTGGGGTTTTGATCATGTCGTTCGAAGACGCTGTCGTTGGCTTCGTCTCATGGTGTTACACCCCACATCGGAAAAATAGTCGATACCGTGGGATTTTTTTTTCCGGGGGAAGTTGTGTCGTCGTTTCTGAGGATGTTGTCGTTGGTGTGGTCTCGTAAAGATGGCATACCTATATTATGAAGTACGAATTAATCGGTGAAGTAGATGCGGACTTGATGGTATGGAGGAGATTAGTGTTCTGCGGTCTCGTGTCGTGTCTCGTGTGGCGTGTGTCTCCTTTTCGGGCGGAGATCGCATGGTTGCTGCCGACGCTGCTGTTGTTCTCGTCCGTCGCAGCCGTCCGTGCTGCCGGCGTCAGTAGCTCCTCGGCACTCTCGTTACCCGTGGCGCGCCTTCCTTTGATGATCTATTGGACTCCGTAGAGACGCGGCCTTTGCCCTATAAATAGCGCAGGTGATGTAAGATACCACACCCTATGGACCGAATTTCAACGTTCGATTACTCCACGACCAAGAGGGTGTATAAATATAACGACACGTTTTCGGAAAAGCTCTGGAGGAGATGGTTCCAACGCCGCCCTTGTCGGCACCACCGCTCTCCTCTGCTGCGTGGTAATCAAACTTTGGATATCGGTCCAGGGGGGGTATGGTATCTTACGTAACCTACGGTACGTGGCTTCCCTCGCCACGAGTTCACGCAGCGAACACCAGGTGCAGCCGATCTCCCCGCCTGACAATCGCGCCCTTCCCCCCACGCAGGCGCTGCGTGGCACCTTTCCAGCTCTCCCAACGTCAGGGTCACGGTGCTGGAGGCCGAAGACAGGCCCGGGGGGCACGCCCAAACGCTGGACCTCAACCTGGATGAGAAAACCGTTCCCGTCGACACCGGGTATGTTGAAGGATAAGGCCGTCCCTTTTGCACCGAACCAACACACTCGTTTACTCGTGAAATTCAGCAAGTTCTTGTGGACGCGATTGTGAATGAAGGGGGGCTCGTGGTTGGAGTTGGGTGGCAGAGGGGCGGTATTGTTCTGCCCCCCCACTCTTCTCAGTCGGGTGTGATTGGCCAAGGGGTTGTCATGGACTGTATGGTGGGGAGACGATGCTTTCGAACTAGAGCAATCTGTGCCAGCCCTACAACTATGGTGTGACACTTGAGGGTATATGACGTGTCATGTTGTTGTGTCGAGGCAATCCTATCCGATCTGTGTTACGTGCGTGTGCACGTCTTGAACACATGAAAAACTGCAGAGTGTTGACGGCTGTCAAAAAGACGCAAGACCTATACCCAAACGTGGCCCCCCGTCTCCTGGACAACCACAGAGTGTCCCGAGGCACCAATCTTGTGCGAGGGAACACTCGAGCTCAAGTATCGGTTTACTCTTTTCCGTCGCGTCGCGTAACGTGCAAGTGCGCTAACTGCTAGTGTAATGCCGTTCGATCGACGTGGTTTTTCGGAAGATTTATGGTGTTCAACGAGCAGAACTACCCGAACATGGTCCGTCTCTTCGAGGAGCTCGGCGTTGGGTCGGAAAAGACGGACATGTCCTTCAGGTATGCGGAGTTATATAAATAGTTGCTGCTGCTGTACGGGTATGCATCGTCTGCCTTCATGACGTTGTGATGGTGGTGGGAGTTCTGATCGGTTACAATGTTATTGAGGGAACCAGTGTTTAAGTCGCAGGGTGGTCGAAAATGCTTGCCACGAGAAACGCATGCCTATGTCGCTGCACTTTTCCGGTGCAAAAACAAGGTCGCGTTTTTTTAGTCGGGATGAAAACGCTCGGCATGACCCTCGTTGTTATTCGCTGCGACTCAGACAGAGGTACCATTTCTGTGCACAAAATAGCTGCCTGATCGATCCAAGCGTACAACTACTTTCGTTTCCTCCACACGAGAGATATCCCTGCTCCCTCGGCTGTCATTGACGTGGCGTGTTTTTTTTTTTTATGTTGTTGATGTCCACCAGCGTCAGCTTGGACGACGGGGACGTAGAGTGGGGCAGCGAGGGGCTGTCCTCCCTCTTCGCCCGCAAGAGAAACGCCCTGTCGCCGGGTTTCTACGGCATGCTGCGGGAGATGGCTCGGTTCAATCAAGAGGCGCCGCGACTGCTGGAGCTGGATGACGAGGACCCTCGCAAGGTTTGTCTGCGTCCTCCTCTTCGCGAGAGCCCCTTGCCCTTGTACGCGAGCGCGTATTGTACGACGCCGGATAGCTTCTCGTGGTGTGTGTGTGTGTGTGTGTTTTGCCGGGCCCGACCTTGGTTTTTGTCGTGACACATCCAACAGTTTCACCCCAAGAGTTAATTTGCCCCCTTGCTGCTGCTGGACTCCGGGCTCTCAACCCACCGTGCGGCTTCTTTGGTGTTGCACAATTTTGCACGTTTTTGTGTTCCGGTTTGTCAATCCGCTCTCCTCTGACGTGTCCGGTGCGCGGCACGGCTTGCCGTCGGTGCGATGTCGCCCTTTAGCTCCAACCCGCCGGTCATCAGCACGGAACGTGCTGTGGAGCTGGTTGGTGGAAACGGTTTTCCATTCTCAATATCACAACGCCAATCCCAGAAATCACGCGGACGTCCGCCAGCCAACCTTCCACTGAACACGCGTTATATTTTTTTGCACTGCTGTTGCAAGGTCCGTGTAAGAACACCTGGCTCTTTCTTTTCCAGTCGGTGAGCGTTTGCGATATTTTTTCCTGCACTACTGTTGCACAGCAGTCCGTGTAAAGAATCGCTCTGCCTCCCCTTGTCCTTGTCCATCAGTCCGTGAGCGTGAGGGAGTACCTCAAGGCCAACGGCTTCTCGGAGGCGTTCGCCCGTTACTACCTCGTGCCCATGGCGGCGGCGCTTTGGAGCAGCACGGCGGCGGACGTGATGGGCCACAGCGCCCTGGCCATGATCAGCTTCTTCCACAACCACCAGATGCTGCAGGTGAAGGCAGGCACGCGCAGCGGCGAGAATGAGAGAGAGGGGGGGGGAGCAAGGGACAGAGAGAGACAAGAGAGACAGAGACACAGAGATATACTGAGAGAGAGAGAGAGAGAGAGAGAGAGAGAGAGAGAGAGAGAGAGAGAGGCGGATGAATTTGGCGTTGTGTGGGGTCTGCCGCCAAGCTCTCTCCCAAAGAAATTGCTCCGCGTACCTTGGTTTGTCTTCCGCAGCCGCCAGGTGCCTACCTAACGGGTGAGATCGATTTTGCGGTGAGACAGGCAATAAAAAACAAGCATCTATCATAACGTTGCCTTTCTTCTCAAACCGAGTGCACCATCTTCTCTAACCGAGTGCACCAGGGTGAGACAGGAAATAAAAAACACGCATCCATCTTGACGCTACGTTTCTTCTCAAACCGAGTGCACACCAGGTGTTCGGGAGGCCGCAGTGGATGACCCCGGCGGGGCGGAGCCGCCAGTACGTCCGAGAGATCTGCCGCAGGATCGGGGAGGACAAGATCGAGCTGGGCAACGCCTGCCGCAGCGTGGCCGCGAAGAGGCCCAAGCCTGCCACGTCGGAGGCTGCGGGTCACCAGGGAGAGGAGAAGGGAGGGGGGGGGGTTGATGTGGTGGTTGAAGATTCGGTGGTGGAGGGGGCAGGGAGCGAGGGGTCGGGAGAAGGAGTAGACGTGGTCGAGGTTAAGGTTAAGGCTAAGGAGGAAGAGGAGGACCACGGGGACGACGAAGCTGGGAGGTGGAGGGTTGTCGACGCCAGGGGGAAGGCGAGATTTTTCGATGAGGTGAGCGAGAGAGATAAGGGGAGAGAGAGAGAGAGAGAGAGAGAGAGAGAGAGAGAGAGAGAGAGAGAGAGAGAGAGAGAGAGAGAGGTTGAGATTGAGGGAGAGGGAGAGGGAGAGAGAGAGTGTGAGAGAGAGATGTGTTGTTTTTCCACGCATGTGGGCAAGGTACTTTATTACTTATATCTGCGAAGTTCGCTGGCAACATGTCTGGTTAATGCACTCGGATAGATTTCTCTTTTTTTGAGGGGGGGCAGGAGCATTTATTGCTCGCCCCACCGGACGGTATTGGCAAGCAGTCGAGGACCTATGTAGGTGCTCATTGGCTCATTTTTTATTCGATGGCGGAAGTGGCAAAGCAAGACGTGGGAGTTCGGGTAAGAGAAAGCGTTAAAGCGTGTTAGGCTTTTCCGTAGTAAAGGGTATCATCGGCGAGCTCGGACCGTTTTTTGTCTATTCCTCTCCTCGCGCGGCTTGGTTCGTTTCGTCTGTCAGCATGGTTTTGTCGGCAAGTCGATGTTGCAATTCGCCTCACCCGCGCACTAATGACGTCAGAGCGTTGTGTTTTGCGACGCTTTACGTAGGTGCGCGAGGATGTGTTTGTACCGCCGGTTTTTGTCTCAGGATGCCTTGCGAGTATTGAAAACCTTTGGATCCCATCGAGGGTTGCCCGCACCCAAACCTGCGCGGTTCTCGCAGGCCAACGCGGTTCCCCCACTACTGATACTATTTTATTCCGTTCATGTCCGCCACCGCCATATCATTAACTTGTCGCCAACCGTTTTCCAGCAGTCTCGCGTTAGTTACCCCGCCCCAACTACGATGCCGTCACAAGCACCTGTTGCACATCGCCCCTCCGGCCCGCCCGCACTCGCCGCCGTCGCCGCATCGCTACCGCTTTACCGCCACTCACGTATTTCCACGTCCAATAGATTGCTCCCTTACATATCTACCACAACCGCCACGCTACCGGCCGCAGGTAATCTTCGCTTGTCCGGCGGACACAGCCCTGGCGCTGCTTGGAGGGGGGGAGGGGGAGGGGGAGGCGTCAAGCGAGGAGAGGGACGCCCTGAGCCGTTTCTCCTTCTCCGACAACACGATCTACGTGCACAGGTATGCAGCAGGTGGTACGGCAGTGTGGCGAGACGATGGAGGGGGAGGGAGAGTGTCCAGGGCACGAAAACATTGTCCCCGTATGCCCTTTGTTTTTTGTTTTGTTTTTCTCCGCGTTCATTGGTCTTGATGGCCTCGTTTCTTGTCGTCGGCGAAAACCCGGAGTGAATCGTTCATGCTTGGTCGAGCTCTCGCGCGCGCGCGATTTGTTTTTCGGCCGGGAGAAGAGAGTTGTCCGGGCGGTTACACTTTCCATCCCGAGTGTTTTCACTAGCTGTAGGTGGCGTAGCTTCTTTGGCCCAGGCCCACGCGCATGTGGGATAGCAACCGTGGTCAACACGTGCTCGTTTGGGAGAAATAGCAGCACCGCGGTTTCGTTCTGCGTGTCCGATTCATCGTGCCAGTGTGTCTGTCGCATGTCGCATCGCATCCTTCAAGCGCACACCGAAAATCTTCTTCGAACGAAGAGCGCGATGTACCGGTGAGAATTTCTCCTGGTCTGGCGTTGCACGATAAACCAGCTCAAAGATGACCGCACCAGCAGCCTCAACTGCAACACTAAAGACATGAACCCAGGGAAGCAGCTATCGTAGCCGTAGCCTCCCTATGATGTGCCTCGGCCCTTGCCCACCCACCCCCCCTTGTGATTTCCCGAGAGGGCCCCCATTTTTTATCTTATCTGTGGTGACTGTATTTGCCAGCAACAACACCCCTGTAGTTAGCGCCCACACTACAGCAGAATCTCTAGTGTTGGCTTAGGGTGAGGTTCTTAGTTCCTAGGGTTATATTACAAATGGCCGACGTGTAAGTTTGAGTGTAGGGGTTCTTAAATTTACCGAGCTCACAAATGGATGGTGCTTGCTCATGTTCTTGAATATACATTTTTTTTTTTAGGGGCTCAACGGTCAAGTTCTCAAGTGCGGGCCTTACTACTGACATGAACGTTATCGTTGCCTGCCCTTATCCACGAAAGCGACGAGAGACTGATGCCCAAGCGGCGAGCCGCTTGGAGCGCTTGGAACTACCTCGGTAAGTCCACGGAGATTGCGGCGGCGGCGGCAAGGGGGCACGCCGCGGACACCAAGCCCGCGTTCGTCACGTACTGGCTGAACAAGGCACGTGGAGTTCGCCGCCCGCCTCGCCTGTGGTCGTCCTTGCCGCTTTTGTCTTAGCTGTTGTCCTTTGGCACATACATCCAGTCCTTCATGTGTGTGTGTGTGTTTCCTTACTCTTGGGAAATATATTTATACAGTTCGCACAACCACTGAAAGACTACCCGTTCGAGATAGTACAGTAGTCGAGGGTCCTTTGTTGTTGTTTGTTTTTCCACCACCCTTTGCTTGCGCCCGGCGTGCTTGCTTTGGAGGGTGAGTGCGAAATGTGAGAAACAGCAAGCCGATGCTTGCACGGGGATACTCTGCCCTCCCTCATTTTCGAGGGATATATGTTTTTTTTTTTTCGCTTTTACGTCGGTCGATGACTGACAGAAGTGCGGGCCGTTCCAGCACGCTTGATGGCCCACTCCACAGTCCTTAATCCCTCCCGCCCCCCCCGGATCACCTCCTGCGCCAGCTCCAAAACCTCGACTGTTCCACCCCAAGTATTCGTGCCCCTCAACCCGCACACACGCACCCCCCCTCCCCCTTTCCCCCCCCCCCCCCGCCGAACGCCTCTCGCGCCAGCTCCAAAACCTCGACTGTTCCACCCAAGTGTTCGTGTCCCTCAACCCGCACACGCCGCCGGAGCCCGGCCTGGTCCACGAGACGCTGCGGTACCGACACCCCCAGTTCTCGCCGAGGGCGGAGGGCGGCCAACGACTGCTGTCGTCGGTGAACGGGAAGCGCGGCCTGTGGTTTTGCGGCGCTTGGAGGGGCTACGGCTTCCACGAGGTGATGGCGGCGATGCGATGTGGTGCTGCCTCTGGTGCTGTGGGTGCGAGGGTGCAGTCGCCGCCGCCGACATCTGTGGCAGACTGCGGCGGTGTTTGTTAGGAAATATACGTTTAAAAAAAAAAATCAGAGCGAGACTTGTCTTGTTTTTTGCTTGTGTTTTTTTTTTTTGCTTGAAAAAAAAAAACAAAAGTCCCCATTTCAAGATTTGTTTTGTTTTTGGCTTGGGTTGAGTGTCGCGTGCAATCATTCGCACGGAGTTGGACCCCTCTTTGTCCAGGACGTGTGGTGTGCTGCATCAAAATGCCCTGGCGTTTTTCTTGTTTTTTTTTGTTCACTAGACATAGCTTTATTTCGATAGCTTTCGATAGCGATGTCGGAGAAACGACTGCATCAAAATGCCCTGGCGTTTTTCTTGTTTTTTTTTGTTCACTAGACATAGCTTTATTTCGATAGCTTTCGATAGCGATGTCGGAGAAACGACTTCAATGTTAAAGGTAGCCTTCCTTTTTGTCAGCAAAACCTACTGACTGACTGTTCACACTGACGGTTAAAATTCAGGTCCATTGCCAATAATCGTGGATCATCGCAGCCGAGCAACGAGCTGGTACTTGCGCCCCCCCCCCCCTGAGTACAATCCGCGCCCCCTCGTGCCCCTTTTTCCATACAAACCCTCCTACTTTTCACTCTCAGGCGGAAAAACCGGTGCGCCTCTTCTTACACGCCGCTCCGCCCCCCTCACCCCGTTCATGCCGTTTTATGAAAAATTCACCCATGACTTGGATGAATGTGACCCTAATGCTACTGCTGCTGCTGCTGCTGCTGCTGCTGCTGCTGCTGCTGTTGTGTTCCTGCTGCCACCACTACTACCACTACTGCTGGAACCTACCCTAAAACCCTTTACCTTAACGCTTTTTCCCCTCAGGACGGCTTGAGATCGGGGCTCGAGGCCGCGGCGGGCATCACCGGGAAGGCGGTGCCGTGGGTAGCAGCCTCGGCAGCCACCCTCGGCAGCGCGACCCCCAGATCCCCGACCACCTCCTCGTCGCCGCCGTCCAGCCTCCCGCCGTCTCCCTCCGGCCACGCCTCCTCCGCCCCGCCGCCGCCGCAAACCCGGGGTTTGGTTCTCCCGCAGCCCCGGGTTTCCCTGGGGCGGACGGCCTGGACCAGAAGGGTGGCCGAGTGGGGGTGTTCCATGGTGGAGGCGGTGGCCGTCCGGGCCATCTGCGGGTTCCTGCGGCGGACCGTAGCCAAGGGTTGCATGACCATCTCGTGCCCGGACGGCCGGGAGCTGCGGTTCGGGGACCCCGGCGTGGCTGCTGCTGGAGTGGGGGGGGGAGGGGGGGACGGGACGTCTTCCGGCGAGGGGGGCAGGAGGGTGGCCATCCGGGTGTTCGACTGGTGGTTCTTCGTGAGGGTGGCCATGGAGTACGACCTCGGCCTTGCAAGGTATGTGTGTAGTTTTTTTGTTTGTTACGACCGCACGTGCAACAGGGGACCGTTTCACTCCATTTTTTTTTGGCGTTAATGCATATGTGTGCCTTTTATTTTTTGGCGTATGTTTTTGTGTCTTGTTTTTTTTATGACCGCACGTGGGCTAGGACGGACCGATCCACACCTTTTCCTTGGCGTAAACATGCGTTTCTTTCTCGCGTGTTGCCTCGCGTGGTTGTTTGATCTAGGCGTTTGCTTCGGGCAGCCCTCCCTTCCTTGGATATCTTGCATGAAACAGATAGTGGCATCTCCGAGGGCCAGAGGGGGGGGGGGGGGGTCAAGCATGGACCTGGCCC